TAATACTTAATTGTGTTGGACATACAACAACAGTATTTACAAATTTATTGTATTCTATAGCATTGGTTGCTATGACAAAATCTTCTATACTTTGGAGCAGTTTGTCAATTTCATTGTTAGCATTGCAAGGACTGTATCCTATTTCACTTATAGTACCAACAATCATCTATATTGCTCGTTCTAACAGTACAAAACAAAAAAGGAATATTGTAATCTTTATTATGGCATTTATAAGCATGTTAACAGCTCTATTTTGCATTTCTTATTACATCATGGGAAGTTGGTCATTCATTTCAAGTACACTTGGTTTTATTTTAACAGTTCCTGATTTACGTCCAAATGTAGGACTTTATTGGTACTTTTTTACAGAAGTATTTGAGAATTTTAGATGGCTTTTTATTGCTTCTTTCCAAATAAATGTTGGTCTATTATACATAGTACCATTGGCATTAAGACTACGACATGATCCTATGCTGTTAGCATTTTCTTATTTAGCAATTGCTGCCATATTTAAGTCTTATCCTTGCATAGGGGATGTTGGATTTTATATGTCTCTTTTGCCACTGTGGAAGCATTTGTTTCAATGTAAGTTTTTATATGAACCATATTAATTGTTTCTCATTTATTAAATATATAGTATAATGATATAACAATTTTATATCTCCTTACAGATACACGACAGGGATTCATTGTAGGCTGTTTCATGTTATTTTGTACAGTTTTTGCACCTACTGTTTGGTATCAGTGGATTTATGCCAGATCAGCAAATGCAAATTTTTACTTTGGAGTCACATTAGCATTTGCCATAGCACAAATTTTTTTACTAACAGATATTCTTTTTGCGAGTGTGAAACATGAGTATGCTATACGTTATGGTATTAAGGATGTTAGTGGAAGTACAGTGAAATTAATTTTAGAATAAAGTTGTATTTTAAAAAGTTTAACATTAAAATTATTAACTGAAGTTTCAAAGTTGAAAGAGGCTATTTCTAAATGTTTATAAACTATGATAATTAAAAAAAAAATTAATTTCTATCAATCATAAAATTTAATATGTTGTTTCATAAAATCTTCAGGTTATACATTTTTTTTTAAATAGGTTGGTTACTAAGAAAAAAGCTAAAAATTCCATTCATATTTTTATTTTATTCTGGCTATTTAATTACTTGTATCACAATTAATAACTAAACAATCTATTCAAATATTATTATTAAATGTAGAAATGTAAACAAAAACATCTTTTTACAAAATAATAGAATATTAAATATTTTTCACAGAAAAATACTTTATTCATTTTAACATTAATTTGAAGTTATCGGATATTTTCTCGTAGATTGAAACATGCATGATTTTTTTTACAATATTCCCATAAAGCATTCCAATACTTGTCTTTACAAAGAACAGATTGATTTCCCACTACTATTAGAAGATATTTTGCTCTTGTTAGGGCAACATTGAATCGCTGAAAAAATATAATTTAATTATCATACTTAAAACATTTAACACATAAATAAATTAAGTAATTTGCTTAGATATCATGTGAAACCATACCTTTGAATTAGACAGAAAACCAATATGTTCTCGGCCATCATGTACAAAACATTTTGAGCGTACTGTACTTAGAAGTATTATTTCTTTTTCACGCCCTTGAAATCTTTCTACTGTTCCAACAGTTATATCGTTTAATTGATGCATCTTTAATCTTTCTTCAATTTTTCTTGTTTGTCCCCTAAATGGTGTTATAATGCCAATATTGTTTTGTTGAATTTTATAACTGTTGAGCTTGGCACACATCAATTTCTTTGTAAACTCTGTTATAACTGTGACTTCTTCTTCATTATAAACGCTAAAACAAATAATATATTTAATTTTACTTATGCCAAAAATTATATTTAAATTCCGTTACTCAAATAAAAACTTTGTAAGTAATATAGAGTAATTACCTCTTATTTGCCATTGTCATTTCATTACCTTTAACGACAAAAAACATAATGGGGAATGTATGATTTGATAATACTGTCCAGTCTGAAGTTATATTATTTATATTGGAGTTACTACAACATATTAATTCCTTGTCATAAAATAATTTGTTGGGTATATGTAAAATGGCCTCCTTACTACGGTAATTGCGAATTAATTTCGTTATGTAACGTGAATTATATTCATTATTATGTCCTTTCTGATATGGCTCACATTCCATTAACCTTTCTAACAAAGACTTCCCTGAAAGTATAATTAAATTTCATATGAATTAATAAAATACTTGTATAATATCACTTTGAAAAATATAAAATGTACCAAGCAAATGTTCAATTCTTTTACATTGAACTATGGGTCCAAGTTGATGAGGATCACCAGCAACAATAATTTGAGCATGGAGTATTCCTTCATTTGGTTTATTTTGTGAACTTATGAGTGTAAGTGGAATTAGTGATTCCAATTCTATACTTTGACTAGCTTCGTCAATAAATACATATGAAAAGTGGTCACTGTATAAATTAAGTTTTACCAATCTGCACTTAACAAATTACAAGTACTATTAGAAATATAATTATTTAAACATTTACAAAAATAAATACAAAACATACCTTATACATGTTGTTAATGTTGTAATAACGAATAATTTGCTGCAAAAATAAAACAATAACTTACCTATCTGTAGATGCTGCATACATTCGAAATATTTCTTTACAAGGAAGTATACATAATAATCTCTTTGCAATTTCATCTGCTGCTGCATTTGAAGATGTACATACTAAAATATGCTTGGACATATAATGTTTCCTAATCTATGGAGTCATTAAAGTTTTAGGATGAAATAAAAAATACATTTTTATTGTACATATTATACTATAAATTATATTAGATTATACCTGGCAAATGGTTTCCACTAATGTTGTTGTCTTCCCAGTACCAGGAGGTCCAAACAAAATATATGGTGCAGGATGTGCTGAATTATTCAAAATACTATTCACAGCCTTTTGTTGTTCTGGATTTTCTGCCACACTTTTATTAAACCAATCTGAAACACTACATCATACATTATAAGTAAATGGAAATGTAATATAGATATTAAAATGTTTGTATTAAAAAAAACATACAATTCTGGATAGATATAAGGATTTGTATGTATTTTAGGATACACTAAACTGACTAAATTATATTTAGACATAATGTATAGGACATAATGGTAACATTTTATTGTCCAGTCTGAAGGTACAAAATGAACATCAACAATGGAACCAGAAAGTTTGCTGTTTTGAGACCTAAATAATTATTAAAACTGGTTATTATTGTTTACGTATTACTTTAAATTGTACTTGTTTTTAATTGTTGCAAAAATTACTTTAAATATACTTACGCATCAAATAAGGTCACATATACATTTTGTTGTACAATATCTGTTACTCTGCTATAATATATACGTTTTGAGTTCACTAATTGCAATTTCACTACATCATCAATATTAACAAATAAATTATCTTTATCTAAAGTAGGTATGTTGATTACAAGTGTGTCAGAAGTCTGTTTAAGAGTTTGATTTTTCAAATTATGTTTTGCCATATTTAATTTAAGCTCGTGGTACTCAACATATAACAAAATTTTGAACAGTGTCAAATAATATTTGGGTTCTATTTTTTTTAGGTTTGGAAGATTATTGAGGAGTTTTCTATAATTTTTGCATAAGTTGCTATCTCTAGGATATTCTCTTAGATTATTCTTTAAAACTTTATTTAAAGCATTAGGTGGTTCAAATTTTATTAATGATATTTGTTCACATACTCCAAAACTGGTGCAATGCCTAAGATAAAAATAAATGTACAGTTTAGCAAATTAGAAATAGATTACATTAATTTTGTAAAATAAGTAAAATTATTTGTTATATAATATAAAATACTTACGTGCTTTTTCCAATAAAGGCTTTTCTGTTTGTATTTTTATTATTTACCATGTTGGAAGAATTATTTAAGTAACACACTTCCTAATTGACTAAACATACAAAACTGCTATAAAAGATATTCTTTTGTATTAATATCTTCCAACGTAATATGTATATACATACGTATCCTTCGAGTACGGGGGTTTCCAAGCTAGTGAAAAGTACTAACAGTTTGACCATCTCATATTATATATTCTGCTGATACAAAGGAAAAAAAATGTTATCATTATTACATGATAATATTTATAAACGTATGGAATTTGAAACTTTAATATCGATCATTGTTACATTTTTTAATAATAAATAAAATTTTGTATGCATATTTGGAAAGAGCATTTTTTCAGCTTTAAAATAAGTATAAGAACAAAACATTGTTTTTAAGTACAGCTGAAATACTGGTATTGAAATGGTGATATGTTGGCTCCTTTGGTTCAATTTTTCAAAATTTCAACATTGAATAATTGGGAAACCATACGGGAGAGAAGGCTAAAATTTTATACAGTTTAGTTTCTTGAAATTATCAACAAGTGCTGTTAGTTTGAAAAAATCAATGACTATGGTAGCATTTCTCGTACATTTTGACATTGAATTGTTTGTACGCAGATAGTGTTTCTTACTTTGTCTGCTCCTATGCTACTACTCTTTAGCAATAAGATATTTTACGTATTTCCATTTTTTATTCTTCAACGGTCATATCTTTCATTTTTGATATTCAATCAATTTCTCATACACTATCTTCAATCACTTAAAGCATTTTCTTCTTTACATTTCTGAAAATATTCATATAACTGATTATTTTTTAAGTTTTTGAAATTTGTTATTGATAACGAAAATAAAATGGGGAAGTCTGTTTACTCGCAAATAAAGTTTGGATAGTATTAGCTTACTAGGTACATATTATATTCACTGGTTGAGTACACTGTTGTATAATCTTGTGCGTATAGTGTCCAATGTAGGTACAGTATTATTCGTAAATGACAATTTGACGGTGTGCATGTGACGTCGATACTTTTTATTGCATCTTAGGATGTATGTCTTAACGATTTTACCTTAAAAAATGGTTACATTGCATTTATTAATGACAAAAGTATGTTACAATGTAATCATAGACAGTGTAAATTGTAAACAATTTTGAAAGTTGTCGAAGTAGACACGCAAAATATAATTGCAAATAGCCTTCTGTTAATTTTCACTTGTTATTTTTACTTATATCTATTATTATTTAATGTTTCATTTCCTCCTAAAATTGAGTCAAATTGTTACGGTTTTCATCAGTTATCAAATATTAAAGTGATTGATTTGAAAAATAATCCATTTTTTATATTGTCTAACTGTATCCTTTATTCAAAATTATGTAAATTGAATTTTAAAGCATGGAAAGCGTGTATACTATGATTAATTTTGTATCCATAGTATAATTTAAAAATATTCTTTTAAAGATACATATGACTAAGAGGTTCTTTTTTATTTTAGCAAAAATGTCAGAGTTAATGGATAATTCTAAAGAAAAGATCGATATAATTCTTCCCAGGCAAGGTTTGCTATACCAAAAAGAAAATTTGGATTATATACTTTGTAAACCCAAATTAATTCCATTAAAATCAGTTACCTTAGAAAAGTTAGAAAAAATGCAAAAGGATGCTGAGTTAAAAATCAAAGAAGCTGCAGAAGAAGATACTAAAGCAAAGGATAATGAATAAGTCATAAGAACTAAAGGCAAAAAGCATAAAAATAACTATAAAGTTATGGTGAAATAAAATAAAAAATTACCATCATGGTTCTTGGAGTATTCGTAACAGAGATTGTAGTAGCATTTTGTCTTGCTGCAACTTTATTATATAAATATGGAAATATTTTTCGACATCATATCATTGTTACAATCTCTGTACTCATAGCATGGTATTTTTCACTGCTGATAATATTTATATTACCATTAGATGTCTCATCGGTAAGCAAATATTTAATAATAGTAATGATATTAAAGTAATTTATATATTATAAGTTAATTTCAAGTTAATGTTAATTTTTTACTGTTTCAGACTGTGTTCAGACAGTGTGTTGAACAAAATATTCATAATAATACTAAGACAAACTCGGACAGTACAACAGCAATACCATTTCATACTTGCAAAGAACCTTGGCCTAATGTACCAGAACATATATTTCCAAATTTATGGAGAATTGTATATTGGACCTCACAGTGTTTAACATGGTTGATATTACCACTCATGCAGTCTTATATAAAAGCAGGAGATTTCACTGTTCAGGGGAAGTTGAAATCTGCTTTGATAGATAATGCTATATATTATGGAAGTTATTTATTCATATGTGGTATTCTTTTGATATACATAGCGTTAAAACCTGGTTTTGATCTTGATGGGTAAGTATGATACATTGATATGCCAAATAATAAAAGAATATATTATATAATTTGTATATGTATACCTTGTAGTCAAAAGCTAAAAGCTATAGCATCATCTGCATCAAATACATGGGGTTTGTTTTTGTTGGTATTACTCCTTGGATATGCACTTGTAGAAGTTCCTCGTGGATTATGGAATGCTAGCAAGCCTGGATATACTTTAAATTATAGTTATTTTAGAGTTGCTAAATTAAGTTTAGATAAGTATGAAGCAGAAGATGCAGTAGATGACATACTTGAGGTAATTAAATATGTTACATTTATAATATTTAATAATTTTTATCTTTGTTTTGTATTTACTATATTTTTTAGTCTTTGCAAGCTGCTACAGTATCTATTGGGCCAGGACATCCTTTCCATTGTAACTTAGAAACAATTTTTCAAAAAATTCCAGCAGAATTAAAAGATAGAATGAACAGGAGGCAGTTACCAGATGATACACCAACTGATACACCATCTGAAAAAGCTTTAATTCGTTTACATAGACATGTCTGTTATTAATAAAATATACTATGTGTCTTTCATATATAAGTATACATAAAAATAATAGTTTACTAACTTTTCCATTAGACTATAAAAGCACTGCAAACTTTACAACGTATAGAAACTCAATGGGGAATTTTAGTTGATAAAATAATTGATTTGGAAG